TATCAGCATCGGCTTTACTTCTTGTTTTTCCTTTATGATGCAAATCTGTTCTGTCAACTCTACCATAAACTTCACAGAGCCATCCCTTTGTCTTTATCCCCACAGCGAGTGCATTATTTTAGACCATCAACATTTTTTTACCTGGTTCATTTCTTAGTATCCTTACCTCTTTTCTTTCCAAAACAGCATCTTTCTACATTGCTGCCAGTTTTCGGTCTAAAATGGAGATTTGTGTTAGTCTCTTACTCAGAAATCTTTTTTTTTTTTAGCTTTTGAAATTTTTTAAATTGATTATGCCATTACATTTGTTCTATTCTCCCCTCCATTCCCCTCCACCCTGCACACCCCTCCCCCACCATTCCCCCCCTTTAGTTTATGAACACGTGTCTCAAGTTCTTTACATTCTGTATTTCCCCTACTATTCTTACCCTCCCCCTATCTATTTTCTACCTACTATCTATGCTACTTATTCTCTGTACCTTCTCCCCCCTTCTCCTTCTCCCACTCCCCTGTTGTTAACCCTCCATGAGATCTTCATATCTATGGTTTGCTCCTGATCTAGCTGTCCTCTTAGTTTGCTTTTGTTTTAGGTGTGGTTGTTGATAACTGTGAGTTTGCTGTCCTTTCACTGTTCATCTTTTTTATCTTCTTTTTCTTAGGTAAGTCCCTTTAACATTTCATATAATAAGGGCTTGGTAATGATGAACTCCTTGAATATGATTTTATCTGAGAAGCACTTTATCTGTCCTTCCATTCTAAATGAAAACTTTGCTGGATAGAGCAATCTTGGATGTAGGTCCTTGCCTTTCATGACTTGGAATACTTCTTTCCCACCCCTTCTTGCCTGTAAGGTGTCTTTGGAGAAATCCACTGACAGTCTGATGGGAAGTCCTTTGTAGGTGACTGTCCCCTTAGCTCTTGCTGCTTCTAGGATTCTCTCCTTCATTTGAATCTTGGCTAATGTAATGATGATGTGCCTTGGTGTGTTACTTCTTGAGTCCAACTTCTTTGGGACTCTCTGAGCTTCCTGGATTTCCTGGAAGTCTATTGCCTTTGTCAGATTGGGGAAGTTCTCTTTTATTATTTGTTCAAATAAGGTTTCCACTCGTGACTGTTCCTCTTCCCCTTCTGGTACCCCTATAATTCAAATGTTGGAACATTTAAAGATGTCCTGGAGGTTCCTAAGCCTCTCCTCATTTTTTAAAATTCTTGTTTCTTTATTCTTTTCAGTTTGGTCATTTTTTCCTTCCTTCTGGTCCACTCCCTTGATTTGAGTCCCAGTTTCCTTTCCATTACTATTGGTTTCTGTGCATTACCATTCATTTCAATTAGTTTAGCCTTCATATGTTCCTCTAATTTGTGACTAAAATCAACCAGTTCTGTGAGCATCCTGATCACCAGTGTTTTGAACTGTGTATCTGAAAGTTTGGCTATTTCTTCATCACTTAGATTTATTGGCTCTGGGGCTCTGAGTTGTTCTTGAGCCATGTTTTTATCTGTTTGTGCCTGTTATGTATGAGGAGTGGAGCCTTAGTTATTTACCAGGGTGGGGCCACCCAGGTTGCTGGTTTGTGACGCTGTATGTGGCGGTGGGGTCAGAGAGGGAGCAATGGCGGTCCTCTCTGCTCATCCAGTCTGTCCTACTGCTCGCCCCCACCTGCCTATCTGAGTGGAAATGTGCAAGCCCACTGCCCTTCGCCATGCAGTCTCAATGCTTGCCTCTTCACTGGTTTATCTACGCAAAAATGTGCGACCGACCAAAGACAGCCAGCTAAGCCTCTTTCATGTGACCTCCCGTAGCTAGCCCACACCTGGGATCCGGGCCTTTGGCTGCTTGCGCACCACCACGGTCGGGGATCTTTTTGGCCAACCTGCTCTGCTGCTGGCTTCACCCCTCCTACTGGTTTAGCTGAGCATTTCGTTGTTTTCAGACTCCATGTTGTCAATTTTTTTGTGTGGTTAGGTTGCATTTATTGTTGTTAAAACTTTGTTGTTTTTAGATTTGGTTGTGCGCAGATGCAAGGTATTTCCACCTATGCTTCCATCTTGGCGGAAGTTACATCTTACTCAGAAATCTTCAGTGGTTCTTTTGAATATCCAAAATAAAGCCTATACTTCTCAGCATAGCATTTAATAACTCTTTGAAGTTGGTATTAACTCCATTTTTCAGATTAAAAAAAAAGCTCAGAGAGAGGAAACAGCTTGCTTAGGGTCACATAGGTATACAATAGCAGAACCAAGATTAGAATTCAAGTGGCCTCATGCTGGTGCTCTAGCCATTATAAAAGTACCTTCTAAAGAGGGGAGAAAGGGTAGGTACTATGTGTGTTGTTAAAATGGTGGGATGGTTACACAATCTGTCTCCTGGGTGGGGCACATACTTTGAAGTTCACACAATGAGCAAAGATCTGTTAATGGCTTTGTAGACTTGAACATTTGACTTAACCTTAGAGCCTCTGTTTACTCACTTAGAAAACTTAAAGGGTTATTATGAATACTATATGAGATGCAAAGGAGTAGCATAGTTCTAGGTTCACAGGAGCATCTCAATGAGTGTCATCGCCTACCGTCACCCCCACTCCAGTGGCCTAAAAACTCCATTTAGACAATGAGGAAAACAGAATTTAGACAGTAGGGTTGTGGGATGAACTGTAAGGCTCTGGGGTGTATTCCTAGTCTGGGGTTGCAGAAAACCTTTTTCAGGCTCTTAATCAGGTTCCGGCTAGAGTTCTCTTGGGAAAACAGTCATGGTGAGATTCCTGACTAGCAAATCTTAAGCCTCTGTGCCCATAATACCCATGATTTGTCACTCCTCATGGTTGAAGCACTGGATTTTTATTAAAATACAAACGTTTTTTGGGAGAGGCAGCATATACTAGGTGGGGCAAAAGTAGATTTAGTTTGTATTGAAAATAACAATAATTCATAGTAATACAAGAATAAAGTATGTTTTGCATATCCGCAACTCAAAAGTTACTTTTGCCCCACCCTGTATATAAACCTTTTGGCCTGATTAGCTTTCACTTACCTCTTACTATGAGTAGAGTCCTTGTATGCCTCTGTGCTTTGTTCCTCTTAGGCAGGGACACCCCACCGCACCCCCAGCCTATTAAAACACTTCTCAAACCTTTAAGGTCCATCTAAGTCACTACCTCCTCAAGAAGCCTACTGTGATAGGTAAGCCAGATGCTGCTTTTTCCTGCCTGTCACTGTCTCTGGGAGCACCAAGTCCTAGAGCTGCTGTGGAGTGTGAGGCTTGGCGGTATGGAGACCTACCTTGAATTCCCACTTGTACTTGACTTGCCCCTTAACATTAGGCTAATAAACGCCTTGACCTTCTTGAGTCTCAGGTTTACTGCTTGGAAACATTTGATGATAATAATACTTACCTCAGGGCAATAAGGGGGGTGCTCTCTCTGTTTGCTGGAGCAATGCTTGCCCTGTAATTTGTGAATTTGGCCGATTCCTTTCGTGAGACCAAAAGCCTCCCTATAGGTCCGCCTAGTTTAGCCTGCCCTCAGGTGCTTTATGACTCCATGTTCTTGGGCAGCTGGCGCAGCCCTGATCTGCAGGCCATGCAGTCTTTTCACTGAGCAAAAAGGTTAATGAGATACTGGGTATAAAAGGTTTGACGCTCACCCGCCCGCTGGTGAGGAGCGGAGTAGCTTGGTAACCACGCTGCGACCTCATGATTAGTCGTATTAGAAGAGCGGGGCCCATTGGGGAGGCAGAGCTTCCCGGGATCTCGGGGATGGCTCCAAGGGCTGAGGCTGAGTACAGCCGAACAGTCCGATTGGGCCTCCCGGAGGGCATATTACCCCTCCCGCTTCTCCCTCGCTCCACCCCCATTCCCCAGGGCCCGAGCCTCTCTGAGGGAGCAACCCCCCTTTACCCTCTTGGAGCTGGGCCCCTAGTGTAGGACATTCAGCGGGACTCACAACTCTCATACCAAAGGTGGCGGGAAGGGGGCTGTGTGTGTTGGGAAGACATCCCTCTGCTAACAGCTCCGACTCTCGAGCGCCCAAACTGCGGCGACCGAGGCCTGAGGGACCACTCCAGCGGGGATGGCGGGGCCGGGCAGCTTTTGCCCAACCTGGCGGCTTAACATCAGGCCAATTCCTAGTTCCCCCCCAGCACTACAGACAGCTGGGAGGAGCCTGAGCTAAATCTTGCTCTTTCCCCGCCCAGGCCCGGCCCCCTTTGGCGCCACTGCACCTCTTTCCCTCCCTGGTCCGGCCCCTGGCCCAGACCCGGCCCTCTAAGACTTCAGTTGGGCTGCAGGTTGGCGCAAACAAAGCCCTGATTGACTGCTGGGAGGGGCGGGCCTCAAAGCAGGGCCGCCTCCTCCCCTTCGCGCCCTACAAGGGATTTGCCGGGAAGGGCGGGGGCAGAGGGGGAGAGGCTAGAGGGTTAATACACAGGGTTGTGGGGGTGTAGGCAGGTTTGAGGCCCTGGGCTCGAGAAGATTGTGTCCTCGCTCTGTTCTAAGCCTAAGTTGTCCCCTCCAGGTTGCCCCCTCAAGTCCAAGGGGGGTATACAAATTCCCTAGCGCAGGGTGGGGTCTCTCACTGGCCAGCTCTCATCCTGAGGTCCCCAGAGGCACCCCAGTTCCAGACTCCTTGTTTGAAAGGAGAAAAGTGGGAGCTAAGGACAGGCGGGGTCTTTCTTGGGGATGGAGTTTATTGATATCCGTTTGGAGTTTGCGAGGAGAAGAGGGCAGGGGAACAGGATACTTTGTGCCCTTGTTTTTCCATTTTAACTCTCCTTTTACTGGGCGTCTAGACGAGGACGACAGGATTTAAGAGTTTGGAAAGAGAGTTGTACGCAGGGGCGGCTAGAGTAGGTACACAAGTAGGAGGAGGAGGAAGGGCTGGGAAGAAGAGAGGCTGTAGCGGCTGCCGGTTGAGGGAGGAAGAGGTGGGGGTGGGGGGAGGAGGAGAGGGAGGAGAGAGATGACATGGGAGAGGAGGAGGGGGCTTGGAAGGGGGAGGAGGAGAGGGCTCCAGGGGCCGTCTGTCGCGGGACAGGCTGGCCAGCTGGGGCGAGGAGCCGGGAGGAGGAGGCTGTGGCGGCAGCAGCAGAAACAAGCACCAGCCACACAGCAGCTTCTCCGGCCCGAGCAGCTACAGTACCCTGGCCGCGATGGCGCTGAAAAGCGCTGCAAGCGAGGAAGCCAAGGGGCCCCAGCGGGAGGCACACGAGAAACAGCAGGGGCGGGTGGGTAGCCCTGAGCCAGAGCCTGAGCCCTTGCCACTGCCCCCACCGGAGCCCCAGCCGGAGCCCCAGCCAGAGCCCCAGCCCCTACCAGACCCTGCCACCCTGCCGGAGCTGGAGTTTGAGCCTGAGCTGGTGCATGAGTCCGAGCCCACGCCCACCGTGGAGACCTGTGGTACAGCGCGGGGCTTCCAGCCCCCCGAAGGTGGTTTTGGCTGGATGGTGGTCTTCGCTGCCACCTGGTGCAACGGCTCTATCTTTGGCATCCAGAACTCCTTTGGGATCCTCTACTCCATGCTGCTGCAGGAGGAAAGAGAGAAGAATCGCCAAGTGGAGTTCCAAGCAGGTGAGTTCCCCCGAGCGCCCCACCTGGCATTCTCAAGGCAAGGGTTTCTGTGCCCACTGCTACCGACCCCATACCTCCTGCTCCAAGGAGCCCTTCCAGCACGCCGCTTCGATTCTTCCCCTTACCCATTACACATAAAACTGCTAAGGCGCGTGTTGGGGGGCTCCGGGCAGCCTTGCTGGGTTAAGAGCAAGACACCCTGGGTGAGACATGGGACATTTATTGATCACGGGACAAGGAATGAACTTTATTGCCCTGGGACAAATCCAGACGCATCTTTTGAATTTTAAGTACCCTGACCGTGTATACTGGGGAAAATATTTGCAAAATATTTTTTTGGGGGTGTGTGTGGGGTCGAAGTCATGGAGAGAGAAGACAGCTAGGAGGTTGGGAGGACTCTCTGCAAGCAGCCCCTGTTCTTGTTGGGGGGGGGCGGACACTTTAGGAATCCTGGTGACTCTGAGCGAACAGTCAAACACAAGGCAGGCGTGTGTGTCTGCAGTACAGAGAGGAAGGGAGGGAGTGCGAGTGGGGGGTGTGCGCACGTCTCTGCCCGCCTTGGTTACGGCCCAGCCGGGCCCGGCTGTCCTCTGACACTCTGAGGGAGCAAGCGGATCTCTGTCCCTTGTGTGCTGAACCCCAAAGCAGGCAGGAGGCGGTCTCCGAGGTCTCGTGCCCAGAGAGGCGTGAAGCAGCTAGCAGGCTGGGCCCCGTGGCTCAGTCCGCGCCGCCCTCAACTTCAGCCATGCCCTCTCGGGTGCCCGGCGCCTCTCCGCTATCCTCGGGGTGCCTCTTTCACCCTTAATTGTAATGCCCGCCTCCTCTCCCGCTTTCGCGTGAGGCCAACTCGCTCTTTCCCCTAAGACAAGCGGGGTTAGAAGGCACAGTCCTCACTCTCCAGGCCGGTGGCCCCAGGACCTCGGGCTTGTGCGCACCTCGCATTTAGCCCGCATGTGAGCTCAGAGAAGTCAAAGGAGCCATCCCATTTTCTCAGCAAGCCACCGACAAAGCCCCTCAGCAGTTCTGTTGGGTCTCAGAAGGGAGCTGAGAGGCTTGGCATGCCCTCTCCCTCAAGGCTCGCTCCCTCTTGTGGCTCCTCAGGACAGCTGCATTTGTGACCTGCTGCAAGTTTGCAGCTCAGAATATGTGGCTTCTCACAGTATTGCCCTGGGCTGAAGGGTTCCCTCACACCCCCAACTCATCCGTTGCTCTCTGAGGAGGTCTGAGCGTTATTTCGTGAGATAGAAACCCTGAATTATAGGGCATCCACCTGTGGGTCCCTGGGGCCCTTGGAGAGCTTCTACAGCTCTCAACCAAGGACTCATTGTTTTATTTTCTAGCTTCACTGAGCTGCTAATGAAGAAGCGGTTTAAGGGCTCTTGGTGCCTCTGATATTGTGAGCTATTGGTGCCAGTGTGGGAGCCCCACTTGAAAGTTTGAGTGTGTGTCAGCAGCTGTCCAGAGCAGTCTCGGGATTGCCCAGGAGGCATTGATGCTTGAGTGGAGTGGGTCGCTGGACTGGGTAGAACAACTTCTGCCCAGAAGTTACTGCCATGCTCAATCCTGGGATTACCTTTTCCTGCTTTGATGCCCTCAAGGGGCTTTTGGGGAGGCAGCTAGGGTAGGGCCTTTGGGTATTGCCTAGGTTACCTAGGAGGTCACCTGCTGAGCATGGTTGAAGGCAAGCCATTGGCTTTTGGGGTCAGTGGAAAATTCTGGGTGAAACTACTCTGGGAGGTAGTGGGGAATGGGTTGAAACTAGGCCCCACACTCATGTCTTCTGAGCAAGCCTAGAGCTGAGGCCTTAGGAGTGTGTAGTAAAACTTGGAATAACCACCATTTTACCAGGAAGAGGTTCACTGGAAGAGGTTAACTGAAGTTTGTTAGGGAGCAAACTTCAAAGTAGGTGATCATAGGATACTCACAGGGAGGGCTGGTTGGGACTTTCCGGTCAAGACCTAACAGTGCAACTGGGAAGGGGGGTGTGGTGGGCTGTGCAGAGGTGCGGCTGATGGGTACTCTGACACCAACTAGGTGCATTGAGGGACTGGAGTTACTGGTTTAAATTCTGGTTAGTATAGGTCAGGAAGGGTCAGAAAGGAATTTGGTATGTCCCAAGCGTCTCAGAATACTTCGGCTTGGGTCTTTGCTGGAGTGTGTCTTGAATTCATGAAAGGTGGTGGGTTTTGTTTGTTTGTTTTTGTTTTTGTTTTTGTTTTTTGATACTGAAGGCTCTAGGGAACATCTTGGTTTTTAATTTGAAAAAGTCAGGAACATTCCCACCTCATTCCCACATTCCTAGAAAATCTCATCCTCAGAATTACCTTTCTTGGGCCCCTCAGCCTTTTCAAGCAACCGTTTAGGTCCTGAGATTCCAAATGTGTCTGCCTCCATATACTTCCTGCAGTTTATCCAAAATTTCCCAGCCACCTGTGCCACAGGGCTGTTTTCTCAAAGGGATAGAAGCCAGCAGAAGCTTGCCAAAATCTTTATCAGCCAGTATTTTCCCAATAGCCATTCTGGGGAACAAAGAACATACACCCTCACAGTCAAGGAGGTTGGAGCATTGTCTATTTGTATTAATGCGTAACATGCCTTCCATCTATTAAAATTTATGACTGTAATGTTTGGATGCACCCCACAACCAAAATTTTTTTTGGCTAGGCCTAATATCTTCAGAGCCTTAAACCAGCACTGATGGGCTTAATGGGTGTACGTTTCTGCAAGTGATTTGGACTGTTGTGAGGGAGCCCTTAGAGAAAGGTAGTTTTGACATTTGGGGGCTAAATTCATATCATAGAGGTCTCTGGGCATGGGGAAAAGTCACAAAGAGTAAAAAGGAAGTGAAACTCAAGCCATCCCAGAGAATGCAATATATAGTTTCTGTAGACTCTAATGTGTGCAGTTGTTCGTGACACTAGCAGTGTATCTTGTCCATTTTCTTCACCTGTTTTGAAAGGGAAGCCAACTTTCCTTGTGTCTTAGGCCTGGGAGGACTGCCAGGCAAAAGTTTCCTGAAATGGAGGCAAGTGACCAAGGTCTGATTTAGAGAAAAAAAGGAAAAGATCAGGAAAGAAATGAGCTTGTACTCTTTGTAGAGCTTGTGGGAAATTTGGGAGTCCCTCAACCCAGACTAAGCAGCAGACAGGACAGAGGCAACCAGGCAATATGGTGAAAAGTATAACATGTCTTCCTGGGATGAGAGAGAAGCCTTTTGAAGAAAAAGAGAAAGAGATGCAAGGTGGCATTGGTTTCGGGTCCCAGCTCATTATTGGAACTCTGAGTTAGAGCTGGGGCAGGGTTAGAGTTGGAGGTCCAGGGGACAAGGCAGAACAAGCCAGAGTTGTTAACACTAGCTCCAAGCTTAGGTCTTTTTAAATGTGCTCCAGAGTAAACCTATTACCCTGCATTTCCCACCTAGACTGCCAGTCTAGCACTGAGCCATAAAATATGATGGGAGGTGACTTTTATTGGGCAGTTTATAAGCATGGCCCTTCCAGACTCCTAGGTGGGGAGAGTATGCCTAGGGCTTTCATCACCCAGGAACAAAGACAATGGTCAAGAAGGTTGGTCACAAGATAGTTCAGGCTCATGGGCTACTCTGATGAAGATATAATTTTCTGCTCTGGCTGGTGTAGCTCAGTGGATTGAGCACAGGCCTGTGAACCAAAGAATCGAGGTTCAATTCCCAGTCAGGGCACATGCTTGGGTTGCAGGCCAGTTCCCAGCAGGGGACTCACGATAGGCAACCATACATTGATGTTTCTCTCCTTCTCTTCTTCTCTAAAAATAAATAAATAAAATCTTTAAAAAAACATATAATTTTCTAAGCATGGGAAAATGGTGCACTCTGCCTTTTGGGCAAACAGATTCCTAAGTATAGGTGAGGCCGGTGGCAGATTTATGCTGTCTTTCTCTTCTTCACCTTAGGGGCTTTCATTGTTTGGTGCATTGTCTCACTAGGCTGACCATTAAATTGTTGACACTGGGAGCTAGGTGTCTTTTGAGCAAACCTGCTAATGTTTTGCCTTTGCCTTTGCCTATTGTCCAGAGAAGCTAGATCAGGATGACTCAGAGCCTGCTATGGAGCTTCAGGTTGAAGGGCCTAGCATATTTCAAATAATTCCTCTCTGCCTCCTCTCCAACCAAACTGGGTCCCAAACTGAGGCCTTGACTCATACTGGAAGGCATGAGGAGGAGAGGTTGGGCTATTTGGAACTCAACCGGGGACTCAACCTTGTTTGAGTTGGAGTAGCCGGTTGAGGCCGAATTCTTGGCTTACTGTCTAGCAGCCTCAAATGCTCATTCTAAGTCTAAATCTGGATCCCAAAAGGCTGGTGATCTCAGTAATACTAACTAGGCAGTGACTATGAGTTAGATGACTTGTATTCTTGACTTGCCGTGTGGCTTTGAGTAGGCACTTTACTACTCTGTACCTCAGTTTATCTGTGAGATAAGAGGGCTAGACTAGATGAATTTTTCTAGCTCTGCCATTCTATCTTTATAGAATTCTGTGATATTTTATTCTTTATGCTTACCTGGCATAATTTTCGACTCATTCAGACAAATGGAATTTGTTAATCTTCCTGAATGAGGATACAGTTAGGTTGGGAGGAAATTGGAAAAGAAATGAAAAGCCATGTAGATATCATTTTTCCACATCGTATATAAAGACTATGATGCTGTTCATATGTACTGATGTAGTTGAAAAAAAAACCCACTCCTATTTTACCCAGTATCCAAAAGCAGCTCTAGATGTACAACTGCTTCTCCCAGAACATCCTGCTCTGCTTAGAAATGGGCCTTCAAGAGGATTTTCTCAACTTGGCGTGGTGCAGGTTAGCAGAGTGGATCTGTATGCTGCTGTTTCCTAGCATTTGAACTGGTTCTAAAAAGCTTTATACTGTAAACATTCCCTTAAGCCTAAAAATTTGGACCCTTCTCCTGAAACTTAATTTCTCACATCTCATTCTCATTTCTCAGAAATTCATGGTTACTCT